TGGCCACAGCCTTCTTATAATTGCACAAATAATCCCAACCAAGATCAGCAGAAGCCCACCAAGTCAACCTGGAAAGTTGATAAAATGTCAGAGCTTTGTTGTTAATCTACTAAGTGTTGGTGTTAGAAAGACACCCAAAATACCAGTAAAATATTAAGTATTACTTTATCAAAATATCTCAACTGTGCAATTTAGTATTTCTTAGAGAAGATCCTCAACGTTTATTTTTCTAATCACTTTGTATTAATCTTTGTTAAAACCGTTTAGCTTAGTGGAGACTGGCAACATTTCATAGAGGAGCTTTGAAGTTTATTTTGCTATAGAGAGCATCCCGGACTCTGTATTTCCTTGTTGGGTCCTGGCTGCACAGTGCAACGTGCTTTAATCAGGCTGCTTTTCATATCCAAGGTAACCCAAATTACTTCACCAAGGAATGTGCTGGAAGGTAATGTCTCTGTAGGCCTCAAAAGAACAATTATGTAATAGCTCATACACCACTTAAGATTTTGGAACTTGTCTTACTGAGAGGAAGTATAACGAAAAGAGAAAATAATGAATGAGTGTTGGACCACAAATATAGAGGAAGTAATACATTATAATTACAATGCACCCCCAATTTTCCTGCAATCTTTATATTTTTGCAATTCATCCTTAAATTGACATTTTAATGAAATGCTTGGTGAATTGTAATTCAGTCTTGGAAGTGTCCTGCATAATTACATCCATTATTTACTTCCAAGTAGCTGACAAATAATATCATATGCAATTTATTTTGAATTGATTCATGCTACATACTCTTTAATTTCTTTAATCTATTTGATAGTGAAATTTACCTACATTTGGAGTACCTTCTGATGTGCTGTACATCAATTGGTGTCATAGAATAAAATAATCTGAAACATACATGCTTAAAATTTATATCACAATAAAAGGACAAACGTCATTAGATACCGTACATTTAAACAAATTCTGTCAAAAATGTTGAAAACAATAGCTCGTGTGGTCTCAGAGCAGAATGCAAGTGGAGAGAAATCCTAGTAAAAGAGGCTTGAGGCTTCTGTTGTATCTCAGGAGCTGAAGAAGGAAAGAACCTCTATTTCATGCGATGCAGCTGTTGTCACTCTGATGCCCAGTAGTAGGTCTGCATTAGACTAATAAAGGGTCAAGGTTTCAATTTTTAGAGTCTGACTCATGTTAATTCCTTGCTTTGCTTAAATAATGTTCTTCTAAACAGGTATGATTCCTTAATGTCAGTTTTTGATTTACTGTATCTATGCATGGGAGATTTAGGTTGCCAGAGATAATGTAATTAACTTACAGCTGGAGAGTAAAAGAAATGTGTGCACTGCACTCTTGGGAGGTAGCAGACATCCTGTGTTCTGCATCAGAACAATTTGAGAACCCTAAGGTGCTAAGTAGCTCAGTTTCTCGCTTGCCTCAAAGAATTAAGTTTCAAAGTCCTTGGATAATCTATTCCTGTCAGGCTTTCTCTTTAAATGTTTCCTCAAAGTTTATCATAGCTTGGTACCCTTGAAAGTGCCCAGAGTGAAGTAGCAGAGAGTGACATAAGCAATAGAGTGTTAGCACAGAATAGAGAAGTGGGCAGAGTCCAAAGCGAATAGAAAAAGGCATCAACACAAGCTTGCTACATGGAGGAGAGCACAGCATACTAAGCAATGGGGGACAACACGGGCTAAATCACAGAGTCGGGCAGCAGCACGCATTGTTGAGAAAATAGTAAGAAGCTTTTTGCGAGGGACTCGATTTAAAATACTTGAGGGCAGGAGTTTGATGTGATTTGGGACCTGAAGGTTGATTGGCACCAGATTGGAAGGACGTTTTATGCTGTAAGGAGACATGCAACAATAACTTGGCCCTTTATTGTACTGGTTCTAGTTCTTTCTAGGAGATTCTGCTTGGTTATGTAATACACCTGCAATTAATTGACATAAAATTATTTATTGTTCATTTATCTGAAATCATAATGATAAGTGTTCAAGTACTTAGCCTTTTAAAAACCCAAATATGAATATTTAAGATGATATATATCATGTGGAAGCAGATTAAGATGTAGTAACAGATCTGGCACTGATATTGAGAAAGTACAGGGTCTTTCTGTTGAAATGAAAATGTAAGACAACCATATGAGTAATTGACACCCAGCATTCTCACTGACTGGTTACTCGAAGTATTTAGCTTTAATGATGTTATCAATCACCCCTAATTCCAAGGTTGCTTTGCCACTGTACTTCTGTACAACATCATACTAAACAGACCATCAAAAGGGAACAAAGTTCTCAGCTACAAGTATTGGAAATAACTTCAGAATGCATCTTACAAAGAGGGGGAAAGCATTTATTGAATAAAGGCCAAAAGAAAAATAGCATTTTATTGTCAGCTTAAGATAAAGTTACTTCTTATTTAAAAGTTAGCCATATTAACTATGCTTCAATTGCTGTAAAGTTTTACATTACTCCACACCAAGTGAGGGCAGCTTCCTTTCCCATTAATTCTATTTCCTAAGATAGTTTTATTCCTGGATACTTTTACCTATGAAAATTTTCATCTGCTGTATCCTGGGAGAGGATTCATGTTTGTAAAGTCTCTGCTAAGGGCACTGATCTCATGGATCTTATTCAGATGTTTGTATGTGAGGAGAACCATGTAGCTAAAGCAACTATCAGATATTGACAATTTCCGGCAAATATATTTTATACAGATAGGTATATACCACACAATAAACACACAGTATTGTACTTAAAATATTGGCTCTAAGAAGTATAGAACAACATAATACTAATAGTAATACTACTGACAATAATACAATGAAATATCCCTCCATTTTTTTCAGCTTAGTAAATTAAAGTTTAAAAAGCGAATTATGTCATTTCAGTATGTGATAATGGCGACAGCATGTGGGAATCAGCAAAGTAATTAAAAAGACCAGAGAATCTACTTGGAAAGATGTAACTTAGCTAGTCAGTGGCTACTTCTAAAAATCTGTTTATTGCTAAGTAACCTCAGGCATGTATGGGAGGATGTGAATGTGAAATGATTACATTTTTGTTATCCCTGTATGCAGCAAATTTCAATTGTAGTTCTTACTGTAAAACTGTTAGAGTATCATTACAGTAAAGTACTCCAGGCTTATAGGCACCAGAGATTTAAGAGAAAGAACACTTCTATTTTACCAGTTCTACCCTACTTCACAAATTTTCCCTCTATTGGTTGGAAATTCCTTCATTTGACTCAAAGTCCCTGCTTTTTATAGAGCTTAAATGAGGTGCCTACTTAAGAAACAATTTATAGAAAAAAAAAACTTTGTTTTTGAAATTTTTGAAAAGGTGCACCCAGATTCTCTAGTGAGCTTATCACCCACAATGTAATATCTAATGAGACCTTGCTAACCACTTCTATGACTCACATCAGGAAGATCAAGGTTGTGTAAAAGTATGGGAGTTGAAGAATAGTTTTCAGCCCCAAGTGCCAATACCAGTAGCTTGCTAGTGGGGCCCTGACTGAGACAATTAACAGGAAAAAATGGCATGATCCATTAACACTGTCTTCCATGCATGCAGGAAATCAAACAGGCTGTAACTGTTCTTGCTTGGCTCATTAGAAGAAACTTTTAGGAGAGAATTTTCAAGAAAGTCTAGAAAACTATGGTACTCTTAAAAGGAAATCAAAGAGGACCCCAGAAAATGGAAAAATATCCCCTGCTCCTGAAGAGGCCGAACTAATATAGTCAAAATGGCCATCCTTGCAAAATTGATATATAGATTCAATGCAATCCCAATCAAAATACCAACAGCATGCTTCACAGAACTGGAGAAAATATGCCTAAAATTCATACAGAACCAGAAGAGACCCAGAATAGAAAAAATAATCCTCGGTTACATGAGCAAAAATGGGAGGCATCATGACCCTGGACTTGAAGTTATATTTCAAGGTTACTGTGATAAAAAACCAGCTTGATATGAGCATAAAAACAGAACTACGGATCAATGGAACAGAACAGAGGGTGCAGAAGCAACCCCAAGTTATGTTCAACTATTTGATCTTTGACAAAGGGGCCAAAAAATATACCGGAGGAAAGACAGCATGGTTTCTCTTATGTGATAAGCTAAATTAAATAAAGAGAAAAATAAAGGCTAGATAATAGGAAATAGGGAGATAAACCTTTCTCAAATGGAATGAGGATCAAGAGGTGGAGGGAAGTGGATCAGAGGGGAGGAATAGTAGATGAAAGAAGGAATTATGCTGTGTTATCCACAGTAATGTAAGCATTATGTACTGCATATATGTGTGGTACTCATAAAACCTCCTCATCCAGTTATTCCTCAAAGCCCCAGTAATGATACAGAAGCTTAGACAGTCAAATTATTCTTTTAAGTGATGCCTTCCCTCCTCTGTACCTTGCAGAACTTGGCCCAGGTGAGGTGACCATCATGGTAGCTAGATGTAACTAAAATGAAAATAAATAAAATGAGAAATTAAAAAAATTTAGATGAAAAGAAAGGCTAGAGATTTGGATCTATTGTCTTTCTTCCCATCTCTGAGAACCAAGGTCTGCTTTGCTTAAGATACCCAGAACAATTATTTAAACATGAAGTCATGTGACAAACATTCCTTTGATCACTTGAGTTCCCAAGTAGGAAGCAATATCTTTGCTATTAATTTTTCATAAATGTCCCAGGCTCTAGCTAAGTATTATCTGTAGTGTCATCTTAAATCTTTTTGTTTCAAATGTCTATATTTTTATGGACAGGAAAACTCAGTAGAGTTATGTCTTTGAAGAGAACATTTTCCTAAATGCAAAGTGTTATAATCACATTTCATATTCTTATATTTTAATGTTTGATATATTAAAGATGATTTTATATGCATCTATCAAAACTGAGGTGGTCATTAGTAGTTTTTAGACAATTTTTAATTACTTAATGTGCTTTACCATTTTCTACATAAAAAGTGGAAAATTAACATTTGTCATTCTCTTTTAGAGAAAGCAAAATCGTTTAAAGGATATATACAGAAACTTGATGTGGTAAGTCTGAAATAATTTTCTAATAAGAAATTCTAAACTGTGCCCTGCTCACAAGCCAGGTGTCTTCCAGTGCTACTGACATTTTAGCACTAAAACAGAGAAACAATTTCTTCTTCTGTGGATAGTGAACACACCTTGTACACCTGAATTATCCAGTACAGTAGCCACTAGCCAAATATGACTACAAAATTAAAATGAAATAAAATTTATAATCCAGTTCTCAGTTACAATAGCTACATTTCAAATGCTCAGTAGGCACAAATGGAAAGTGGCTACTGTGCTGATATAGATATTTGCTGACTTGTTATAGATAAAATATCAGCTACTGTGCTGATAAAGAACATGTTCATCATCATCTATTGAGAGGCACATTCTAAAGGCTTCTGTAGTAGTGAAAGATTGTGGTGGTTCAATTTCTATACTGCTGCCCTCGAGTGGCACAACCACCCATAACCACGGAGAAGTAGTCAGAAGCCTTCTTTCCTAGTGCATTCAACTCACAGGTTCACCGTTCTTCATTTAGTCTAAAAATTAAACCATTTACCTACAGAAATAGCCACAATAGCTCTACTAACTAAAGACTGAATTCCACATTGGTGTGATCTGTCCCCTGTCAGTGAGCCTGAGTTGATGGAAGCAGGGAATCTGACATAAACTTTGTCAGTTTTCCATATTATCTTCCCTTCTCATAATTGGCATCAAATAGACACTTGACCTACTTTTCTGACTACAAGACTGCAAGTACTAGAGCAAAGTAATCTGGTTATAAGATTCAATTTATATATTAAGCACAGTATGCTAATAACAGCAACATTTAATAATAAATTAGAGTAATTATAACAATGAAAATTATGTGAATAGAGTTTGTCTTCCTCTATCAAATATCTTACTGTACTATGCTCACCCTCCTTTCTGTGATGCCGTGAGATGATTCAATGCCTACATGGTGAGATGAAGTGAGATGAACGACACAGGTACTGTGGTATGGTGTTAGGTTCCTGCACAAGTGTTACCTGAACTCAGGAACCACAAAACCACAATAATTTAATAACTAACATGGCTACTAAGTGACAAATGGCAGAAGCATATACAACATGGACACAGTGGATAAAGGAATGCTTCATGTCCTGGGCGGGGCAGAGTGGTACAATGTAAGATATCATCGTGCTATTAAGAATGGCATGTAATTTAAGGTATCTATAGGTAACAGTAATGGACTGTATATGTTGAAAAAATTAAAAGAATTTAAAATGTTTTAAGGGCTGAGCGTGGTGGTGCACTCCTATAATCCCAGCACTTGAGAGGCTGAGGCAGGAGGATCATTGCTAGTTCAAGATGAGCCTGGGCTACAAATGAAGCTCAAGGCCAGCCTGGATTGCACAGCAAGACCCTGTCTCAAAAAGACAAAAAAAAAATGTTTTTATAATAAGGAAGTGATAAATGTTTGCTTATTCCAGTGTGAATATTATACAATGTACACATGTATAGAAATATCACATGGCACCCTACAAATAAGTGTAATTTTTATGTGTCCATCAAAAAAGAACAATGTGCAATTTAAAAATTATATTTATAATATATAATAATGCATAATATAATATATAATAAATATATCATATTTATGTTTATTTCTGGAATGTTTTCAGTTATTGTATTTGAACTGAGGTTGACCCAGTTGTATTAATCAGTTCTCTATTGGTGTGACAAAATACTTGAATCAATCAATTTACAAGGAGGAAATATTTATATTAGTTCGTGGCTTCAGAAGGTTCAGTCTGTGCTCCTTTGACCTTAACACCTTTGGCTTGTGGTGCACAGTACATAGAGAGGGGAGCACATGGCAGTTGGATTTACTCATGGCATGTAGATAAGAAGCAAAAAGAGAGAGGGAAAAGGGCCGGCTTCCCCATGTTGTCTTCATTTCCTTTCTTCTCTTAGGAAACACCTCTGAATGGCCCCACTGCTTCATAACAGTGCCATGTGTTTGGGACCAAGATTTGAACATACGTGCTTTTGGGAGACTTTAAACTATGGCACCTGGATAACTGGAACTACAGAAAGTAAAACCTCAGGTAAGGGGAAAGTGTACACCAAATAGAGTGGCTTAAATATATCTTTTGAAAGGTACCGTAATGTTCTAGGATATATTATTAAAAAGTCTTACTAGGGAAATAGAAAATAAAAGGTTATTTATGGGATTTTCCGTATATCTAAATGATAATGAGTGCATATAATTTTTACATGCCTTTTGGACAGTAGATAAATCTGGGAAACAGTGCAGTAAGGTCATCTTATACACTGTAGTTGTAGCTTAAATTGAAGAACTTAACATTCTGAAGTTGCTGAAAGAAAAACACAAGCAACTTTTTGAAGTGGTTGTATGTGCATAAACTTCTTGTCCCTTTGAGCAAAACAACAAACAAACAAACAAACAAACCAATCGTTACATTTGTTAGGGACTGGAAAATGTTTACACCATGTGACAATTGGTTGCTTGTAATATTAGGGAAAAGTTATAAAACTGTTTTATTTGCAGTTTTGGATGGAATTGTGGTTACTTCTACTTTCGTGGTCAACTCTGCCTTTGGATCGCCTTGCACCCAAGGAGCATGCCCAGAGGATGTAAACGAGAGCTCTAGGCCTTTGCCTGGCTGAATGCACAGGGCCCTCGGCTGATGCTGGCGCATGCGCTTTTCACTTCCCTGGCCTGGAGAATTCTGCAAGGTCCACAGATTAGCGGCGGCCAGGAAGTCAAAGGCTGAAAGGATGGTTGACTGGCTCAGTGAATGAAGCTCTGGACATTACATTATCTCTGGCTCGGAGCATACGGAATCAGTCCTGCAGCTATCAAAGGGGCGGGGAGAGAATCTTCCACAAGCTTGGCTTGGCCGATCTGTGTGTGCTGAACCAAAAAGCAAACTGAACAAAGACATCTAAATTTACAGCTCCAGTTAAAGACCTGGGAGGCTTATCCAGTATAGAGAAAGCACCATTGAAATTCACTTCTCTGCACAGTTTAGTGAGTGTTTATTCCAGAATATAAAAATATTTTATATATGTCTATCTTTATCTCTCTTAACCTCTATAAACCTATATATCACGATATGTATTTATAGATTTATTCTTGTGCCCCAACTTGACTGGTCTCTGAAATAAACTGATTTCTAAAAAATAGTGATATATATAT